CTTTTGTTTGGTCAAGATGTTAAAATGCATTCCCCCAAAGAAAGGGGTCACATCTATCTCCCCCTTGGACCTTTGTAAGCAGTCTGGGAGGCACTGCTGGCCAAGGGTTGGACTGCTGACTGCAAGGTAGGCAGTTCAGAACCGTGGGGATAAGGCAAGGCTCTTTGTTCTGATAAAGAGTTTACAGCCTTAGAAACTCTGCTCAGGGCGGCTATGAGTCAGAATCGACTGCTGTCAGCGGGTTTTGGGATGAGGTTAGCCCTGGGTGTTGCTGTAAGGGCTAGAGCAAAGGATGTATTAAGGAGAGATTGGAGGGAGGGAGGGCAAACCCCAGCTTGGACTCAGATGAAGGTACAGGGAAAGAGATCTTGTGCAAGAAGCACTTCTCTGCAAGGCTATGGGTGGCAGTGGGAACCCCAAATTCATTTGGAAGGTCTCCCCATGGATTAAGCCTCTGGTGAATCCCCTCTGATCATAGCCCAGGAGCGCGAACAGCCTTGCTACAAGGACAGAGAGCACTGGAAAGTCCCTCATGGCCCATGAGGTCAGGTTAAACGCAACAAGTTACTATTTGATCTTCCTTTTGACCCATTTTAAAGTTGTTTCAGTGTTTTAGCATTTTCTGCTTTCTTTGTGATTGAGGTTTTTCCTGTCTCATTTTGCCATTCTTGTTGCCTTTTTGCTTCTTGTGTTTTGTATGATTTTCTGTATATGAAATCCAGGACAGGTACATTTATAGAGGCATAACTAGATTAATAACTGCCTAAAGGTATTGCATGGGTGGTCAGGGAGAAATGGGGAGCTAACAGGTTTGAGAAAGGAGAAAATGTTCTAAAATTAGTTGTGGTGATGACTATACACCTCTTCTTAATATGATTAAACTATTGCACTGTATGATATGTGAATTACATGCCAATAAAAATTTTTAAAAAACCCAACTCCAAACCAAAACACTGTTCTGGGCTCGATTGGGGGCCGTGCTTTGGGGATACTGGGCAACTGGGGGTGGAAGCTTGAGGATATGCTCACAGTGGTGGTGGGAGACAGAGCCTCAGGAGAGAAGGTCTGAAAAGACAGCAGTGTGATCCTCCACAAGCTTGTGCTCCGTTGAGGCTGGTCACAGCTTCCGCTAAAAGTTGCTCAGGACACTGGTGAGGACACTGGAGGAAGGTCAGGGTTAGAATCCCAGTTTGCTCTTTGTCAGCCTGACACTGGACCAGTTTTCAATCCACCTTGGACATCAATCTTTAATGACACAAAATAGACCCTCCATAGGCGCTCCTGTGTGTAGGGGGTTATGCGTTGGAAGGTCAGCAGTTCAAAACCACCAGCCTCTCTCAGGAAGAAAGAGGTGGCTTTTCTACTCCTGTTAAGAGCTAGTCTTAAAAAAACAAACAAGGAAAGAAAGAAAAAAGAGTTAATCTCAGAAACCCACAATGTCCGTTCTACTCTCTCTTATTGTGTCACTATGCGTCAAATGGACTTGGTGGCAATGCGTTTGGTTATTTGGTACTTATTTACCTTTATACAACTGGCACCAACATTTTGCCCCCACTTTTTCTGCCATCGAGTCAATGCTGACACCCCCCCACCCCCCGGTGGGTTTCTGAGACTGCAACTTTACAGGCGTGGAACACCCAGTCTTTCTCCTCTGGAGCTGCTGGTGGTTTTGAACTATCGCCCATGTGGATTATAGCCCAGCGTGACCACTGAGCCCCCAAGGCTCACGCCCCATTAAAAGACAGGAAATGGCTGCTTGTACCTGGACAAACACAAGGCTTGACTGGGTGGGGAACGCCCTCACACTGGCAGCAAGAACAGCCTTGGGCCTCCACCTTTACTGAGCACCCCAATCTTCTTTCTTTGAAAGCAATTTCTAGTCACGACTCTGAAGGCGGGGCCTGGGTTCTCCCGAGGGTCTTTTCCCAGGTGCGGGTGCTGGGCAGGCAGTCTTGGTGCTGCGGTCTTGAGTGGACCTGAGCAAATCCACTTTGACCTGTAGCGAAAGGCAGGGCTGCCTGCTCCTTCTTCAAACACTTAACGCAGCATTACGTTTTCTAGGACCAGAATCTGTGCTTCGGCGTACCTTTTAATTTAAACCGTCTCTTTCAAACGATTCATGTGAAAGCTCGATAGCGTCTGCTTAGGGATGCTAAATTATAGAACCAAAAAATCACTAGTCAAGAAGCAAGCTGCTTCTGCCTACGGCCAAACTACCAGGCAAACAATTGCTTGCCAGGGCGGCACCCAGATGTGCACATATTCGTTAGACCCTGAGCCCGTTAGGAAGATTAACACTGGGGGACTTGCACTGAAAATTGGAACTTGTAGTCCGGAAAGGGGTCTCACTCACAGGTGCTGGGAGCGGTTGGGGCCATCACATCAGACTGCTTAGTCCTCAAACGATAGCCCAGCACTCTCCCCCACTTTTATTTTTGTGTCAAAATGTAGTTACCTGTGTTTCCCCGAAAGTAAGACATCCCCCGAAAATAAGACCTACTTACACTTTGCCTCTCGCTGAAATATAAGGCATCCCTCCCAAAAATAAGACCTCCCCGATAATAAGCCCCTCCTGAAACTACCGTAACTCTGGACTCTGGACGGTAGCGGTGGGCGCCGCTGCACAGCTCACTGTTGGCCGCGGAACAGCCAGAGCAGACAGGAAAAACAATAAACAATAAATGTGTACCGTATTCTTCTTCATGGAAAAATAAGACATCCCCTGAAAATAAGACCTGCCTTTTCTAAAGGCAGCCTGTCTAAAGGCCAAAATTAATATAAGACACCGCCTTATTTTCGGGGAAACAGGGTAAGTCACATAAAACAGAATACATTTCATGCTTGCTTTGCAAGTCTCCGATGTTTCTCCCTTTCAAGTGGACCAAATTAGCGGCTTGCCAGGATGACTAACATAAAAGCACCACG